AGAAATCCAAAGGTGATAAATCTGGCGATCTTGGGGGCCATTAAATGGCACCTCTTCTACCAACCCATCGATCTGGAAACATCGGATCTAAATATTGTCGAACACCTAATGCGTAATGTGGTGGGGCACCATCCTGTTGTAAAATCAACCTATCCGCAGTGTACCGCCAATCATTCTGATTTTCAATTATGGCTGTTAATGCAGGATCTGTGGCGTCTTCCAGTAATTCCAAATACATTTCACCGGTCAAATTTCCATATAAGAAAAAAGGACCAACTGAATGATCGCCAAAAATACCAGCCTAAACGTTTAATCTTTGTGGCTGCTGTGTATGAACCTCATGATAAATTGTGGGATTAGAATCGGACCAATATCGGCAGTTATGACGATTTACTACGCCATTTAAGAAAAAGGAACATTCGTCGGAAAAGCAAGCCTTGAATAGAAAATGTTCATCGTTTATAATTCGTTCACTCATATCTTCACAAAATTGTAATCGCCGATCAAAATCGTCTTCATTAAGTTCTTGTACCAGGTGAATTCTATACGGATGAAAACTATGGGCCTTTAGAATCCGTTGGACAGTACGTCAACTACGTATAATACCACACACAGTGTCCAATCTACATAAACTTGCCCTAAAACCCCCACTTCTGTTGCTTCGTTCTAGAACATATATTCGATGCACGTTGCTGCCAAATCAATCGGAAACTGTGTATTAAATTCCTATTTAAAATAAGTATGAGATATTTCCTTATCTTTCTTAATAACTTTTTTGTCAAAAAGAAAACGCTCCAATAGCTATCCAATTTCAAATTTCAACAACAAAATGATAAAAAAAGCCATGTGCGTAGTGACGAAAAGCATTTACTTAATAAGTAAATTATTTTAGTCAAATTTCTTCTGAAAGTAGTAAAACTAATCTGATGTACCTATGAAAGTCTACTTTAGGCTTTATATCAATAAATCTCCAAAACTACTGAACTGAAGCTCAAGTATTTAACAGCATTATAAAGGGAATTGAAAGACGTTTAAAGTAAGGTATCACTCGACCCCCCCTTTCCATTTAAGATTTTAGGGTTGGTGTCAGTGACAGTAAATGCGTCTGTTTCGTTTTCGATGCGCCACCCTGTATATTTGAGTTACGGTTTAACCACACGAAGCTGTGGCCATTTTATTGGGGATTGAGAACTACTTGTCTGCAGACAGAGTGGTTTTATTAACACTGAATTTATAATTATTACGAGTCGTCCTTTTAAGATATTTTAGGTATGGTATCCTAGGCCCGTATCGTCAGTCGTTCCTACAATTGTATGGCCTCCATGACTTCGATAATATTATGTCTTCTTCGATAAGGTACTTCTATGTCCAGCTTTAGATTTCCGGCATGCTGACAGTTCTGTCTAGAGGTTATGTTGTTGTTTTGACGTTTAAGAAATCTTTAGTCTCATGAATCGAAGGCAGAACTGCAGAAGCCTAATTTACTATTTTCTTGCAAATAATGTTGATCAGTTAATAGTCAATAATACTTCGCTACATTGAACAAATTCCACATCTGCAAGAAATTGTTGGGTTAGGAAATTTAGTGCATATATTATATTTGTATGTATAAAAGTCCTGCAGCTTACTTCTGTTGACGGCAGGTAACTTACAAAACAAATAATTGCATGTTCATATTATATGCTTATCGTATTATTTTCAGGTGTGATTCATTCTCACAGACTTTATGAGATGTTTCCTCCATAGATAAGAAACATTGTCCAATTATTGCATTGTCGATGTCAGAAATGCTTTTTTAGAAATCACTGTGTGACTCTAGATTTTGTGTAGAATGTCAAGCTACAAGAATGTATAACGTGTGTGTGTTGTGAAGATCATAATTATTGTTGTTGACTATCACTATTTCAGGGTGCTCAGAATGCCATGGTCATGTAGGGTTACCAAAAATGAAGTGTTACTGGGGGTAAACAGAAAAATAGAGTTGCAGCATGAAGTAAAATCAGAAAAACCTTATGACATAACATTCCGTAATTAATTACAAATGGGAAAATAAAATAAAATTTTGACTCATCAAGGGAATTACCTTCCTGTTAAACAAATTCCAAATAATACAAATAACTAGATAAGCGGAAAAGACCCATTATGTTGAAAATGGTAGGCACCTCAAAGTCGGCCTAATAAGTAGTTTTAAGATAATTGCATTCCATTCATAATTCACGTATCGCTACAGATAGATAGATAGATGCTGCAAGTATCAAATTAAAACTCCCAACTTTATCATGAACTTAACATGTAAGACTCATTTTAGGCAAAAATGAACTTAATCTAACCTGGCTCTGAGGAACAGAATTTGATTTGTATTTAAACTGCTGGGTATAAATTTTGGATTTAAATTGCTATCAATACATCAGTGACATCATCAATAACAAGGGGATCAATACACTAAGCCTCAAAAAACAATATGCTGCACCATATATTACTGTTGTAGAATGTGGTATTTGAAAAAGAGTGAGGAAACCTAAATACAGTTTCTTCTCCAATTCGTTCGATAATTAATTGACTTGAAATCTTAACATAAAAGGGAAAATCTATTAAAACTGTTGCATAGGGAAGAAAAACATTTTCTGTTTGAGAAAAAAATATCAAAAGCTGAACAGGTTTGATATTTGAGACACTCGTATGAAAAGCAGATTTTGCTAGTTATGGTAGTCACAGTAAAAAAAAATGAAATCGTTGGCTCTGAAGTCTGTATTTATCTCTTGTAGTATTACTAGCTGCAATTTAGTGTGTTTAATAATTGAATGTCCATATGTAAGAGTGTGGTTTTATGTCCATTTTAAGATGAAAACTTCATTTGACCATTTGTCCTAAATGTTTTAACTTTTGAAACACAGGGTGGTAAGAATGGTCAAAAAATAAGTCGTTGATTATGAATACCTGTAATACCACTTAATGAAATTTGAGAGACATTCTGTCGATTTTATCTACCTGTCTGTTTTGATAGACAGTGATGGTATGCCGTTTATTTCTCTCTTATTCAAATTTTCAAGCAAAGATCACTTGGATTTTTTTCAATCTCTTGCACGGTTTTTATAAAAACGATCATCATGACAATGTTGCTATGCAAAGAAATTTGTTGTTCCTTGGGTAGAAATCTTGGGCCGGACATTAATAATTGAATTCTTTTAGTCTGACGCACGGTTTCACCCGAAAAATACAATCTATTTCTCGACATAGTGACATTGTCATTCTAAGGATACAAGGATCATGCAAAGAATCGTTATTTTATTTTTGTAAGCGAATACCGTGCATCAGAGTGAAAAAAACAAGGGATCAATTTTGCTTAGAAATGACGGGATTTCAAGAGTAGTTTTTATTTTAAGAGAAACCAGTTGCGTAGATACTATCATTGTCTGCCAAATTGGGCAAGTGAAATCGGCACCAACATCGCTAGTGGAAATTAAAAGAAAATTCGTACATTAAAAGTTACCTCTTGATAATAATACATTTATGCCGAATTTCAATAAAGTATTTAAAGTGGTATTACTGATATTAACAAAAAAATTATTGATTTTTAAATAGTTTACGGCCACGTTTCCCAAAAGTCAAGACGTTTATTACATAAGATTATATGAAGTTTTCTTCTTAAAATGGAACAAAAGGTCACTCTTTGAAACATTGACATTCAGTTGGAAAACACTATATATTCTATGTAAGTAAATCTAAAATTATTATAGGTTATTGTAATACAGTATTGTAGTTTGGATGTTTTTTTGGCTATATATTAGTTCATATTTCCTTTTATTAGTTGTACCTTTTAGATATAAAGACTTCATTTGATTACTGATACTTATGTGTTTTGACAAAACTGTCTATGAATTCCTTAACAGTTCCATGTATCATATTTTTCAGTTGGTATTTGCAGAATATAATTAAAAGAACACTTAGTAAAATAAATATTTTTTATTCTACATTGTATACCCACAGAAATACAATAGGTTCATTCAAAAATATCTAGAAATGTAGATTTCATCAATTTTTAATCCTCCTTTTCTCTTAAAACAAATGTTTTTTTCTCTAGCATGACGTTAACTAGATTATATGCTGTTTTCCAAATTACAAGCTATGTAAACAGGGCTAAACGGATATCCAATCAATTACAAGGAAATCTTTCTAGTTTGGGGGTACGTTAGATCATATTGGAATGTTAATTAACTCTACCAAACTTTTTGAAATATCCAATTTAAATATATTCACTCTTCTTTTTTCCCCTTTAATACCGTTCCTTACACTGGAGTTTTTGTCTTGGAATAATATCTTGTACCCTGGGCTTATCAGGACTGGATGTATCTTTGAGCAATGAAAAGATCTGAAAAAATACTATTATAAGTAATGGTGGTATCTTATGTTTTAGTCCTAAGTGTTAAAATATGTCTTTCATATAGCATTTTTGCTAGATCACTGGATTTTTATTTACCTTATGGCATCAGCTTTGTGAGATTTAGTCAAATAGAAATGTTGATTACAATATTCAAAAAGCCAGTTTATCGAGTTTCATGTGACATTTTAGCTCTCACATGCAACGTTAACCATTAGACATTTGAGAACCCCCTGCCCAGGTATAACAAAGCTCCTCTTGAACTTTTATGATTATACAGGCTTATGCCTACCTTTAATTTATAAATTGCAGTGTAACACATGTCAGTCACAAAAAGCAAATTCACTTATTTCTGTAAGGTTGGTTCCTTCAAATATGCTTTCAAGTGCCTGGATGCATTATAAGGAAGATCATTTGCCTCTTTGTCCTTCCAAAATAGATATTGAGTTTTGTATGCACTATCACGATGGCTTATATCTGCAAAAAGATGCATAGATTCAAGAAACATTAAAAATTGTATACCTTGGTGTGGGCTACAATTTTATAATGACATTTTTTAGAGTTATAGTCTTAAATTTTTAGGTTAAGGTTTCCACTAATATAAAAAAATACCAGATAGAGCAGGGCATGTTTAAACTCAATTTCAGAGCATTGACATATTATACATACTTGTTGCCTGACACTACGCAATCCAAAGTCTAACAAAATGCGATAAGTACATCAATATGCAATGTTTAATTTTTGTAACTTACCAACCTTCATGAAGGAACAGCTTGGTATATATATATATATATATATAAATTATAAATACACATCCATTTGTATTAGAGACCGACCGAAGTTTCGGTTTCGGATTCGGTTTCGGCCAAGTTTCGGCCAAAAAACCGGTTTCGGTCGAAGTTCCGGTTTCGGCAGCCAATTGGCCGAAACTTTCGGCTTGGCCGAAACATACGATCGTAAGGTCTCGGGATATGTCCGGTTGTAGTCGGGCGATCGCTTCGTGTCCGTACGCGTTTCATCACGTCACTTGATCTTCGCCGACAAGCTGGTCACGCATTTATTACATTTATTAAGTAGTGTGCGTATTAAATAAAGGTAAGTATTTAGTGATTATGTATTCTGGATATACTATATTATAATTATTGATAATTTCTATTTCGAAATAAGAGGGAGAGTAATAAATCATCAGTTTACACCAGGTTCTGCAGGAGGTCATACGCGTAGAATATTACACAATTATCTCAGTAACAGCAAAGAAAAGCTCATAAAACTTTACTGTAATTAATGAATAATTACAATGAAGATCAATAATATTAGTTCAATTTATATTTGATTATCGAGTGAAAACTGAAAATTATCTGTTTCAGATAGAAATGTCTCAAAGAGAAAGAAATCCTATTTGGCAGTTTTTTGAAAAGAGCACAAATGATTTATCTAAAGCAGTTTGCAAAATCTGCAAAAAGTCGCTCTCATTAGGAAGTCAAGAACCCAAAAAACAAACACTATATGGAGTGAAGCAGCATTTAAGTAAGTTCCATGGCACAGAACACAGACAAGTTTTAAAGCGGCAGTCTGAATTAGAGAACATAAAAAATGAACTAAATATACAAAAACTAACTAAAGTCTCTCTAGCGGTTTTAGAAACTGATAAGGGTAATCAACCTACCCTGGTCCAGTCGACCATTCCGAGTTTGGCTAGACCTAAATGTGTACAATGGCCAGATGATCATGAAATTTCACGGAGAATAGACAAAGCGATTATGGATTTGATGATTGTCGATATGTTGCCGTATTCGTTGGTCAGAGGTGAAGCATTCCAAGGACTTAATTTTGCTGATCCTGATGCTTTTCATAAATATAGACTGAAGAGTGAAAAATTTTTCCGAACAACATTAATGCCGCAAACTTACGAACGAGTAAAGGCTAAAGTCAAAAAATGAATCGCAAAATCCGATTGGTTAAGTGTGACTGCCGACATATGGACCAACACTAGCAAATCATGTTCCCTTCTCAGTCTCACAGCTCATTTCATTATAGAGCATCAACGCCTGAAAGTTATATTAGGCGCAGCTGTTATGGAACAAGACCATACTAGTCAGTACATTGAACGAAAATTTACGGAAATGATCAATGAGTGGAACTTAAATTGTAAGATTTTTTTAGTGTTGCGTGATAATGCCGCAAATATGGCATGTGCAATGCGGACAGGACACTATGAGTCTCTTGGCTGTGTATCGCATACGCTGCAATTAGTGATCAAGCAATCGTTATTTGCTGATGAAGACACCACAGAAATTATAAAAAAATTTCGGAAGATAGTAGGCCATTTCCACCACAGTGAACCAGCGACAAGAAAATTGAAAGAATGCCAAATCCAATGCGGGCTGCCAGAACATGCTCTGGTTCAAAGTATTGATATAAGATGGAACAGTACCTATTTGATGTTTCAGAGGCTGTTAGAGCAAAAAAATGCTATAAACCTCTACACTGTTCAGCATGGTAAAATAGATACCCTTTGTCCCACCGAATGGGAAATTATGAAGCGACTCGTCGAAGTATTGAAGTTCTTTTACGAAGCCACCCTTGATTTATCATTGAATGACGCTTGTATTTCTATAATCATACCTCTAATATCGCTACTCAATCGGAAATTACAAGCTCGAATGGAAAACGAAGATGAGGGTATGACAATGACGAAAAATCGGTTATATGAGACAATGAACCAAAGAATGTCCCTCTTGAAAGAGCATCCATCGTTAATTGCAGCAACATTGCTGGACCCACGTTTCAAATCCAAGTATCTAACTCCCAATGCTGTTGACACCGGAATCACAGAAATTGTATCTTTTTTGATCAGATGTAGTAGCGACAGCGCGGTGAACAGAAATGCTATTCATTCTTCTTCTTCTGCAGGACCAGTGCTGGTTGAATCCAATATTCAGAAACAAGACGAAAGTCTTTGGGATACCCATGCCGATAACCCCGGCGGTACACCATGTGATAATAATGGATATGATGAAACTTCTATACTAAAACAAACAATGAAGTGCTATTTGTCGGAGCCGCGACTACAGCGGAATGCCGACATATTTTCTTATTGGAACTCCAGCCCATACACGACGTTGAGGAAAGCGGTGTTGAAATACCTGTCTGCACCACCGACCAGTATCCCCAGCGAGCAAATGTTCAGTGCTGCTGGGCAAATATATGCAGATCGGCGAAGCAATTTGCTAGGAGAAAATGCGGAAAAACTACTTTTTTTATCATATAATATAAGGCTTTTTGGTTATGTTTACTAGTTTATTGTCAATTTCTATATAGAAAATCTATTTTGAGTTAAAAACTTTTAGTTGTTTTGGTGATGTTTATGGAAGTTACAGGACATACATGTTTGTTTTCATATAAGTGCAATGTAATAGATAATAGATATTTATTTATGATTCGTTTTGTTATATTATTCTAGTATTTCAACTACCAACATGTTAATGGAATACATTCTTTTATTTCAAAAATTAACTTTTGTGTTTTTTCAAGTACCTAACCTTACTGAACAAGAAAAACATACATTATGGGAGATACGTTTTCAAAGACCTTTAATAACTTCGTAAACCTCTAAAATCGAAGAATCATGTACATCCTCATTCTTTTTTTTTATACTCCAACTACCACGAAGGCCTAAGGCCTAAACACCCATGGGGTACTGTGGGGCTACAGGGGGATACACGGGTCAGGGGGAACACCACACGGAGGGAACACGTGTGCATGCAACATGCACACATTCTGGCCCCGCCTACGAAATCCGTCGGGTGGTACCTCCGCGTTCGACAGTCAGATAGCATCTACCACCTACGGACAATCACAACATCCATAGAAAAGAGAAAAATTTCTCCTGGGACGGGATTCCAACCCGCACAGCGCACGGCGACTGATCAGGAGACCGAAGAGTCTACTACTGCGGCCACCGCTGCTGCCCATAAGTCAAAGGAAAGTTTCTGTTTCGGTTTCGGCCGAAACCAGGACGGAAGCCGAAGGTTCGGT